TCAAGTTTATTTTCTATTATTTTAGTTTTTAACATTTTATAAACTTATTTAAGTAGTCCTTTGGTTTATATAACATCATTAAATTATGCTTCCATGACTAATGGAATAATGATGTGGCATCCATGTACATTAATAATTTGGTAAGCAAGAATAGTGGCTCAGATTGTCAATTTACTGATCACTTTCTTCCTTAATGTTATTGATCTAATCCGAGCCTAATATAGATTTCAAATTTTAGGTTTGGTTCTTGTCTACTCTAGTTGCCATGTATTTTTTATTCTAAAACTTTATCCATTATACTTTTAAAGATTTTGATATAATATCTTTTTTTTTTTTTTGCTGTTTGGCTTTCTGCTCAATTTTTATATAACTCATTATAATTTTAAGAAGTCAGCACAAAAAAATAATGAAGTTTATGCACAAGTTAATCATTGTTAAGTCCTTATGATTATATTTAAATATATAGAAACCAAAATTGTACATAGATGAAACTTGAAGGACTCAGAGTAATGGAAAAAAAAATATAAGGAATAGAATGAAAATACGCTGAAAATATGGGGACTAACAATTATATTTTTGCTTAAAACAAAACATAAAGCACTTTTAAAAAAAATTAATAAAATATATTGAATCATAAAAAAAAAAGATATAAAGAAACTTACTGGATAGCTGCTGAGGATTGAACTTATAGATTTTAACATCAATGATTGGGTTTGGTTCTAATGGCTCATTTGTCACTTTCTTCCTCAAATAGGCCATAATCAGCTCTTGTTCTGTGGGACAAAACTGGAATCCACTTGGAACCATTTGCCAAAAATTATTAATATTATTGTTTTCACATATTAATCTTCCACTCTCACTCTCTCTTATTTTCAAAAAAATCGTTCATGTTTTGATCACTAAGCAAAGAAGATGATGAAATTTTCCTCTTGTTCATCGTACGTACTTGGTTGAAATTTGCAAACAATCTGCAACGCAAATTAAAGATTAGGATTAAAATGATGTGTTTTGTTTTATAATGTAATTCAAAGCACATAAGAGAGGTATATTAAATAAATAAACAATAACTTTTATCAATAAATAAATGAACTAAAAGTTTTAGGTGCAGTTTGTTCATAATTAAAAAATAAATCATTCTTGAAATAGTTTAGAGATTTTATAAAAAAACAAATATTATATTATGTTTGATATAATAATAAAAAATATTATGATTTAGATATTTTTAGACTTTATGATATATTTGTGATCTCTATTTACGAAAAAATAATTTATTATTTAATTATTTTATGGCACATTCTCTCTCATCTGCCATATCAAATTATTTTCAGAAACTATTAAAAAATTAAACAAACAACATATAATTTTATAAAATAGATTTTTTATCCAAAAACAATAAATGTTTTTTTAATGAAAAAAATCCTGAACAAACGGGTATTAAAAGGGTGCCATTCCTCTCTCAGAAACCCTTCAGTTTTTCCTCCATCTTCTCCTTCATTTTGATTTTTAGAATTTGTTTTATACTTTTAAATTGGATTGCTTTTTTATTTTGGAATTAATTATGGTGGGGGAGAAGAAATTTTGGAAGGGATGAAGATTTCAGGAAATTCGTTCCAGACGTGCTCTCTTCTGTAGAAAATTTTTGAGAGGGGCATTGCAGTCTTTTCACTTTTAAAATAATTAAAATAAATATAAAAAATAATTTGGTGTTATCATTTTCAGTGCATACCAAACAAAAATATAATAATCATAAGTACCAAAGAACCTCATACATACACATCAATAAGATTATTATATTAATAATAAAATTTGATCCTATAATTTCATGAGTTACAGGTTAAATTTTTATTCACTCGACCAACTTTTATTGGTGGTATTATAGGGTTTGAATTTTTGACATCTACTCACGCCAAGCCATGTATCATTCTTCTCACTTGAGCTAGTGTCATATGTGTTATTTCAATTTTCGCTATTTTATTTATCAAACAATATTTGCTTTTTTAATTTGTTCAAAACATTTTTTCAAACAAAGAAAGGTTATTGACTCAAAAATAATAATTCGATTATTCCCTCTATATAATATGTAACACAAAAGATGGACAAACTATTTGAATGCAAAAAAAAAAACATTTAAAAACAAAGAAGAGAAAAAAGAAATATTTACTTGATCAGTTGATCGATTGCCTGGTCAATTGCTTTTGATAATATTTGTTGTGTTTGTTTCTCTCTTAATTATAGATTAAGTCTTGAAAGGAAAATAAGAATAAAAACAAAAGATCCTCCTTGATTATCTTTTATTTCTAAAATTATTTGAGTTTTGAATTTTAATTCAAATAAATCATATTTAATTATTTTTATTTATCTTTTAAAGAATGCAAATATAACTATAGAAGGCTTTATAAAAAAAAATTCAGTTTGTCATGGTCCTTTTTCTTGCTGGGAATTTCCTTGGAAAAATAAACAAAAAGTCCACAAAATCAAAATTGGCCAAAAGATGTCTGCAAAGTCAAAGACAATCTTCATCAAGAAATTCAAAAGAAAAAAAATTTGAAAAAAATAAAAAAAATAAAAAAACATAAGTTTAAATAAGTCTACTAAAAAAATTATCTTGAATTAACTAAACAAAAAATATATTAAAAGAGTTAATTATTTCATCTTTGAAATTGTGCTGCAAAATTTAAATTTAAATAAAAAATTATTTTATCAATCTGAGCATGATTTTTTGAAGATTCCTATTTAAAAAAAAATCAAAAAGACCAATCTTGAAATTAAGGTATATTGACTCTAATAGATTTATTATTACTCCTAATTATATATAAATTGAATTAACATAATTTTAAAACGTCGGATACATCTTAAGATTAAGAATGGAATATGCTTCAAATATTGACTTTTTGATTTTTCTATATTTTTATGAAAGGGAAAGACTTAAGTACTAAGTGTTGAAGAAATTTCTTAGGTACACCTAATAGATCATGTTACTTATACTCTCTCTAATAAAAATATACCAAGTCATATTATTTTAATTCAATTTAGCAATCCATTAATTTGTAATATTTTAATTTTTACATTTTAATCCTTGGTCTTATATATTGATTTTTTTTCAATCAAATAATAAGTAAATTTTAAAATATTAATAATATTAATATCAAAAATTTGTTATAGGATTATTAAGTATATACCTTTTCTTTTCAAAAGTCATATAAATTTAGTTTATATCTTTTCCTTATTTTAAGTTTTCTTCCTAGACCAATGTTTCCTTCTTCCTGTTTTTTTTATTTTTTAAGTTCAAGAAGTTCATTGTCATTGTGGTTGTCGTGGTGATGCAATTTTTTTTAATAATTGTAAATGTTTTTTACACAATACTTTGTGCTAAGTCTAAGTTGGACTTAATTAAGTGCGGGCGGTGAGGTCAAGTAAGTTGAAAATTTAAAATATATATATATATATATATATATATTAAAAATTGGCTCTAGGCAGTATTTAGACAGATAGATTTAAATTTCAATTTAAAATTAGAATTTTTCTTTTAAAAGTATACATTTAAAATCTACGTATTTAATTAAAATATTTTGTCTGAATAGTATAAAATTTTTTTAGGGAAAGGCAACCTGCAAGTTCTTTTAGTTTTTATTGATTTTGAATTAGACTCTTGTAATTTATTTTGATTTACTTAAACCTTATAATTTAATAAATTAAATATATTAGTCCAAACAGTTAGGAGTATTAATAAATGATTAAAATTTTCACAGCACAAACAATTTTAAAATTTATAGAAAATTTTATTTAACGGTTTTTAGCCAAAAAAATTGATTTAATATAATTTTTATATTTTTATTAATTTTTTATGATGAATACACACACACACATATATAAAAATTATTTAGAAAACATAACCTAATTATATAAATTTTGAGTTATAAAAATTATGTAATCAAATCTAAAATTATATAATCTTTTAATAAAAATATAAAAGTGTATAATTTATTTTTTAAAGAAATAATTGAAGGATTTTAATCCTTAGGGATTAACATATTTAATCAATCAAATTATATAGGCTTGAATAAAACAAAGTAAATTACATGGATCTAATTAGAAATTAAAAAGACTGTAAAGACTCACAAATTAATTTTTCCAAAATTTTAAAGGCATCAGAGTTTATCTTTTTTATTTCATTGATGAGAAACGAAAATAAAAAATCAGAAAAGAAATGATAGTTATAGAAGTAATAATAGTAAAACCGTGAAAAAGAAATATGAGAGTTGAAATAACTAAAATTTTAAATAATTAGGATATAAAAAAAATTTGACGTTAAAATATTATATAATATGAATTTGAACATGGAACAAATTTATAGACTTTTATGTATCCAAATGAAATATTTAATTTAAATCTAAATTATCATTAAACCAAACACAAGTTTGTTCTTAGTTTTTTAATATATTTTTCATATTTTAAGTTTAATAGATTAATATATTATTATCATCTTTATTATTGCGTATTTTTTTTTGGGGGGAAATAGTTGTGCTGAGTCAAACTTGGATTGAGCCGAACAAGTTAAAAATTAGACAAAAATTATAAATTGGACCAATATAACTTATTACATAATTCATAGTAAAATTACATGATATTTTGCTAACAATATTCTCCAGTCAGGTGCAAAACTCTAACGCAAGTTAACATATATCCTCAACTGCACTATATCTTTCATGATATGCAAATATCTTTCTTTAGTACAAACTTGAAAATAGCCTTTCCATAGTAATCAATACTCCTTAAACACTAGGAATTAAGATTTATAACGTCATACATGTTAGTCATCATCATAATATCTCAACCACTTCATTGCTTGCCTTTCACAAAAATCTATATATAACCATTGATTCATTACGATTTTAGCCCATTTTATTTTTAATTAATCCATTCTATTCTATCTTACTTTTCAACCAGGAACAAACATGCTAAAGAAGTTTAAGATATTTTATGACTAATATTCTCAACAATGAAACATATCAGATTTTTTTTCAGTATTCATGCTACAAATTGAAAATTAATCACGTCCTCCGCGTTATAGAGATATGAGATGGCCTGGTTCCTCCAGTATCAATCTCAGGCTCCATTAATTCTGGAAGCATGCTTGGGATGATCATATAATCACCGTTTTCTTTGTCCAAATTGTGAAAGATCTATGTACATTCAAACATCATCTGAACTTGACGTTCCATTGTTGATTTCATTGAAAGATGAAGGACTAGCAGAAGATTGAGAGATTTCTGATGAATGAGGATTGTTGAATTGAATCGGATCCATATTGTTTCTTTGAAGCTGTGATTGATCTTGAGAATCAGTTTGAGAAGAATGAGTCATTTTGTTTATAATTTCATAAAAAGATGGAGGTCTAGGAGAAGCATGAGAGATTTCTAATGAATGAGAATTATCCAACTGAATCATATCCATACTGTGGCTTTCAAGCTGTGATTGAGGTTGAGGATGATATTGAGAAGAATGAGTCATTTGAGTTGATTCTTTTCTTAAATATGGTTCTAACCACTGTGCGTCCTCCTTAGTATAGCTTTTTATGAAGTTCTTGTTGTTGTTGTAAATCTTACATAGAACCCAATCACCCAACTGCAAAAGTGTAAAAACATTAAAAAAAAATAGTATACAACAATATCAGTATCCTTTTTTATAGAAAAGAAAATTTTCCATTTAGGATAATCCTAATAATTAGAAACACTACAAAGAGTACAAATCAAAACTATATATTCCTTTGATAATCCATTTTATAAATCACTTTATATAAAAAGATTGATGATTAATTACCTTCTTTCAATTTTACCTTTTCACATTATTTTAGTAGAATAAAATGTTGCATGTGTGAGAAATGAGTATTCTAAAAGATGATATATTTTCTAACAATATCAATGATTTATCAACCATTTCTTTCTTTGAGCAAAATAGTTACAACTTATAACTAGGGTTTGGCTCGGTCAGAGTTGGTTCGTCAACCCAACCTTGAAAACAAGAAGCTTGACAATGAAACCAAACAAACTAAACCTGACCATAACTTTTGAGTTAGAATTAATTATATCCTAAAAAGAGAAAAACTACTGTTTCTCAACAAGAGCAAGAAATTAAAACCATATTGACCAAACTAGATCATATAACTATTCCAAGATTCGAGTTTCATTGAATAGCTTTAATAACAATATATAAGACTGGATGAAGTATTACTAACCTTCGTATCTAAGGAACTCACTCTTGCATGTGTTGTCAGATCCAAATAATACTCATGCATGATCCAATTGGTCTTCTTGCTCCTTTGATGATTCCCTTTATAATAAATCAAAGTTCTACGTTTTCCAATTAATGTTCTTCCATCATCAGAATGGATGGACCGACATTTTCCTGTCACTTCCAATGGCCATCTTGTATTGATCCATTTTGACATATTGGTGAGAAGAAGTACCACACATTTTCTCTAGACCCCCAACTCCTACATTGTCCTGTGTTTATAATTAATATACATGTATAACCAAATTAGTTTACTCATGTGATTGTCATGCTTGACAAAAATGTACGAGACTAATCCATTATGTGGTTAACTATGAAATATGATTTGTTTGATATGAAAATTTATTGGGATAATGAATTTTGTTATTTCAAAGCTTGTCTCAATTTTCAATTTAGTTCTTAGAGTTTAATTTTTATCAATCAAGTTCCTAAAAGTTTATAATCATACATGACTACCTTGCTTACAAGCATCTTTAATCACACCTCTTTTTGTAACCCATTTTACACCCCTTCAAACCATAAGAGGAGTCATTTTATATGGTTATCCAATTTGAGGGACTTGACAGATTAAGAATAAACTTCAAGGACCAATCAATAATTAATAAAAAATTACTATGATAGTGAAACTTTTGATCCTAAAGTTTGCTTCACTTTTCGATTTAGTTCATAAAGTTTAATATCTAACAATCAGGTCCCTAAAATTTAATAATCATACACAATTACCTTAATCGTTTATAACCATCTTCAATTCCCACCTTTTTTTTTTTGTAACCCCATTTTACATCTCCTTCAAACCATAAAAGGACAAATTGTACATGGTAATCAAATTTTAGGGGCTTGATTATTAAAATTAAATTTCAAGAGCCAATAAATAATTGAGGCAATCAGATGGGACAAAAAATTTCATTATACCAAAATTTACTGGAAAAGTATTCAACTACAACCGTATTTCAAGTTAGCTTATCAATTATACACACTAAAACATTAACATATATAGTTTCCTCTTTTCATTTACAAACACATACATGAGAATAAAGCAAGAATGACATTAAACAGTTAGGTCTCTAATTTTTTTGGAAAATTAATTGTAAATATTGATTTAAATAATCATCAATTCAGGAGTTATAATTGTAAATAAGACATTTAAATTTTAAATATAACTCTCAGTTTTCAATTTGAAATTCCTATTTGCAACTTTTTGAATCAATATTTACAACATTTTTCTCATAAATTCCAAATTTTGAAGACTTTATTGTCATTCCTCCAATAATAAAAAACATAAAACCCTTTATTAAAATATTAATGAAATATATTGAATCATAAAAAATTAAAGAAACTTACTGGATAATTGTTCAGGATTGAACTAAAAGACTTCAACTTCAATAATTGGGTTGGTTCCAATGGCTCATTCATCACTTTCTTCCTCAAATGGGCCATGATCAGCACGTGTTCCGTAGGGCAAAACGTGAATCCACTTGGAACCATTTGCCAAAAATCATTAACATTGTTTTCACATAATCCTCCATTAATGTGATTTGTCAGACTACTATCTTCAACTTTTTGCTTCTTAGACTTCATGCTTTGATCAGTTAGCAAAGAAGATGACTGGTTCCTCTCCGGCATCGTACGTGGTTTTTAAAGTCGTAAATAATCTGCCACATAAACGCTAGGTTAAAACACTGATTTATAAAATGTGCAAAGCGTATATGGTAATTAAGAGGCATGAAATAAACTAATCGCTTTTCCTTCTGGAGTATATATTCATTAGCCTCTATTATAAAAAATATATATAAAAAAACAAAAATATATTGAATCTCTCATGCATAAAAAAATAAAAATATTAAACATCACCAATATTATGATATCACTAATATTGAGATATATTATATAAAATACATTATCCATTTCAAGCGACTACTTCCATGGCTCAATAATAGTGAAATTGTAAATGTGCGTGCGTCCGTGTGTGTAAAAGATAAAATAAAGTTAGAGTCATTTAAATGAAATGATTGAAATCAACCCACATGAATACTGATGCGTACTTCTTTCTACAAGCAACTCTTTCTATTTCCGTTTATAGGACCAATATCCTGTTAACCCTGCGCCGTACATGAAGGCATGATAAAATTTAATCAAGTAAAAATTAACTGAAAAACATTGTGACAATTGTTGGAATACACCTAGAAAAAAAAAACGGTGTCATATTAATGTCTTGAAATCTATCAAGCAAAATCTTTTGCTAGAAGCCACGGATGTATCAACTAGCAAATCACCTGTGTCCCACAAACTGATATCAAAGGTACAGAAAAATCCTCAACTGAATCACAAATTGCCCAGCTATTCATGAATCCGTGATGAGAGTATGCATGCATCTCCTTTCATAAAATTGCATCAGCATTAAAGAACTAGTGATTGAAGACAGAGGAGGAAGAATGTTAGGGGTACTGGTGACGGTAGTGCTCATGGGAATTGGGGAAAATTGTTTGTGGGTTTGAAACTGAACTCAGATCTATATAGAGGAGCATCAGCTTTTCCATAGGCTTCTATAGCTTCATTATTAATTGGAAAATGAAAAGAGAAGATAGAAATACAGAATTTCTTCTGTACCTGATTGCTACCTTCCGTGTCACACAACTCAGAATTCCATCAGGTATCTCTAAACTAAGTCATTTTTTTAATTCAGTCTCTCGATAAAGCAAGATACTCCCATTAACTTCAGTTAGATGAATATTTTTCTCTCTGTTTTTCTAATCAGAGCAACGGAATTCACCTAGTTATTTAATTTTTTTTAATGAACTAATTAAAGACAATTAAATTGTTGTCTCAATTATTGCTTTATTTCTTCATTCTAAGTAACAAATTGTTGCTGTAATTGAAGCTACAAAAACTAAATCACACTTACTAGTAAATTATAGATCAATTGATTCTTATGCATCTAGATTTCCCTTGTTTCAGCATTCCACAACTTCAAAGGATGCATTAAGAAGTACCTTTTCTCTTCTATTGAGACAAAAATAATTACCAGACAAAAAAGGCAAACTACTAAACGAGAAGACAATATCAGGCCAGGAAATGGGGTAAAAAAATAGAGGACAGCAAGTCCACTAAGAAAGATGAAGTTAGCCATTTCTTAATTCCTTGTAATAGCAGCTTACTATTTGTTTCAGTCTATCAGAATCTTGTCCCTGATTTACAACGAGAAAATAATTGATGCTCCTGTACTTTGTTTTATCTATCACCTCTGTCCCAAGCTATTTTATTCTATGGATATGCTCCCGATTCCTTACATGTTAGGAATCTCAGAACATTAGTCTAACTTCCTTTTCTAATTTCCTCTCGAACCGTCCATAAGACTATAACAGTTTTTATATTCTATACTATTTCCATTTCAAACTTTTTATAAGACTAGATCTATAATAGTTTCATGTATCACTCCAAAGGTTGAAGCCACTTGCCAGATTAGCATAGATATAAAACATCCAGAAAATTCCAACCTGTGTACAAAAGAGAACAGATACGATTGACAGAGAAATGCAAATTCCAGATTCCCTAAAACTAATATTTGTTAGACGTAGCAAGAAATTAACCAAGAAACCTTCGACAAATGGCAATGGCAATGAAAGATTTTGGGGCAATAATTAACTCTAGCAAAAAAAAAAAAAGTTAGCTAAACCGATAAAGAAACAGCAAAGAAAACAAATTAACAAGCATATCAATCTTGCAGGCGGATCAAAAAGCATTAATCAAATAGATTGTATTAGCATAGAAGCCGAATGCTCGCTATTAAAAGAGGAAGAGAGAATGGCGAAAGAATGCGGGAGCATTTAGAATAAACTGCAAAAAAAACTTGAAAAAACTGAAGAGTGCTTACAAGAAGACTTCTTGACAGAGGAAGAAGATGTGATATTTTGGTGTTACTCGACCACCTGCGAATTGCTCTTGATATTTCTTTTGCGTTGCTGCAAAGCTTTTGTTTCTCTGTTATTATGACACGATTAAAAAAAATAAAATCCTCCCATTGTCTTTTTTCAATATATATATATATATATATATATATTCGAGTTTCGAATTTTAACTCATAAAAATCAGTTTACATTTTTTAACTATCTTGTAAAGAAAAAAAATGTTAAAGAGCAAAAATACTCAACAACTCTTTCTCGCAAAACAGCTACAGTATTTTTAAGTGAACAAAAGTATAAAAGTACTCATAAACTTATTTTAATGAGTTCAATGGTATACATTCCATTAAATTTAACTAATGTCTATTAAAAAAGAAGCAAACATAAGGTATAAAAATATTCAAAAGATTTTTTTTCAAAAACTTCTAATATCCTTAAGTCAACAATAATATATAACTATCCATTAACTTTTATGAAATGACACCTTTGCCTTATAGAGTTATTTGGGTTAGCTCGATTATTTAAATTGTTAAATATTATTTTATTTTTTTAGTTAATTTTAGTTCAATTTTTATCTAAAAAATTAATACTTTCATTTTTTATTTAATTTCAATTTAATTTAATTAATAATAATAAAGAATTCGGGAACTTAGATTAAGGGTATTCAGTTTCAAGTTTGACCCAAATGTTTTAGGCTTATTTGTAAACAAAATACTTTATGCATTTGTTTGTTTCATTTGAAACGCCTAAAAAGTAAAAAATTTAATTAAAAGGGTGGTACATTCACTAAATACTCTTGCTGTATTTATATAATGTGTTTCTGACAATTTTCATGCAGATTAAGAAAACAAAAGGACATATTTCAAAATTTATTTACTTATTCAAACTTCAAAGTAGTTTACTCTAGTCCCGAAGAAATTTAAGCCAAGTTTGAATCGAAATGGATTTAGCTCGATACTTGAATTCCTTTTTTATTATTAATAAAATAATATAAAATTAAAAATATTAATTTTTAAAATAAAAATTGAAATTATATAAAAATAAAATAAAATAATATTTAATAATTCATGTATTCGAGCCAGCTCGAATATACCTGAGATTAGGGTTGAACTTAGTTATATGAACTTTTTCTATATGGTGGGATATTGTAAGTCCAATCCAAATAAATTTAGCCTGAATTGAATTCGATCTGAATAAGTTCAGCCCACTTGAATTATCGGCTCTACCTACAACTTTCATTATTTGACTATGGTCAACTATAGAAAGCCATTTATAAACACAAATTGAATGACTAAATAAGAAAATGTTTTTGCAAACCTCAAGGACCTTTGTTGTTTGTAACGCTCATATGACCTTTAGCTGTTTGATTCAATTCTTTTCTTTCTAGGAAGAGAAAGGCCACTGTTTCTCAAGAACAAGAAAAATGAAAAAAAAAAAGGAATTGGAATGTTGAATCAGAAAGAGAACCACCTATAAGAAGAAAGGGATTTACATTATGAAGTTTTGGTGCATTCTTGCAAGATTGTTTTAACTAAAATTCTAAGAAAGGCATGAAATTTAGGCGACTCAAATTGACTATTTGACTGTTTTGCTTGAAAAATAATGTGCATTTTGTTGCGACAGGGTCTTGTTGACCAAAGATCAAGAAATTAGGTTGTGTTGTCTTTTAAGAATGGTATTCATTTAGTTTCATATTATAAGATGTTTTTAACTATCTCACATAAATAGAAAAAAAAAGTTAAAATTAGTTGACGTCCTTATAAATTTGTTAATTTTTTGGAGTTACTACCTTTATTTTCTTCTCATGGGCAATATATGTATAATGAAATTGATTACTTCTATGATTTTATAAATTAATGCCTTTTAACTTTAAACATAGATTCTAACAAATAATGTTTTATAACATATTGTTTTCTATGACCTCTATTATACATAGGACAACAGTTTCCTCTTCATTCAGATTCTTCAAAACTCAAGAAGAAAGTAGCTTTTTCAATATGTAAATAAGTTAACTAGCTTCTAAATTTAAAATTGAAAGTATTTAAAATTACTCTTTATGTTTCTATTCATAAGTCATTTCTAGTATTTTCACCAAAATTAAGAAAAATTTTAAATTTCATTAACGTTGTCTAAAAATTCAACAAGTTTGCAATTTAACCCTTATTAAATATACATATTTTAAAAATCATACACTCTAACAGTTATTAACCTTCCTAACATTTAATAGGGGCTAAAAGATAACAATGGATGTAATAATCATTGAGGTGGCATATAAATAGAATCAAAACAAATATTCTCTCTATAAACTATAAATAGGATCACAAGAGTAATACATATAAATATTCCTCAAACTGGCTAGAGAAGTTCACAATATTTTATGATAAATATTCTTTTTTTGTTTTCATATTCACTACATAATGAGAAAATAATTACATCCTCCACAATATAGGGATCATCAGATGAATATGAAGCTTGAAGACTCCATTTTTGAGTGAGCTGTTACTGATGATGCAGTTGTGTCCACCATAGAAGGAAGCATGTTTGAGATCTTAGAATCATTGTTTTCTGTGTCCAAATTCTCAAGATCTATGTATTTCCAAACATCATCTGAACTTGACTTTTTATTTATAATTTCATAAAAAGATGCGGGACCAGGAAAAGCATGAGAGATTTCTGATGAATGAGGATTATTGAACTGAAATTGATCCATATTGTTGCTTTCAAGCTATGATTGAGGAGGTTGAGGCAATATTTGGGAAGAACAAGTCATTTGAGTTGACTCCATTCTTAATGGTTCTAACCATGTTTCCTCCTTAGTACAACAACTATTCTTGTAGATCTTATTGTTCTTGTAAATCTTACAGAGAACCCAATCATCCAACTACAGAAGTAGAAAAAAGTACATAAACAAAATCATTATCATTTAGAGAAAGGAAATTTTCTATTTAGTGTAATCCTAATAATTAAAAACACTACAAAAATTACAAATGAAATGTAATAATCTAAAAAAAAATCTGGTGGGTAGTATTTTGTAATTTTATCAAATAAGTTTGGGTCTTTTCCTGTAATTTTTCCCCATTGTCTTTTATTTAAATCTTCTTCTTCCTGGTCGGTGAAAAGAAACAAAAATGAGTGAAAAAAAAAGAAACCAGAGTAAAGCAGACGAGCACGAGAGAGAAAGAGAATTCTCTAAGCTTCCACCGACCTTTGCTCTCCGTTCTTCTTCCTCCGTTGCTCATCTCCATCGAGTCCTTTGTTTCTTTGGCCCTTCCTTTCTTTTTCTTCTTCACTTTTTGGTCTGTTATAGCACCGGAAAAAAATGAAAACGGAAAAAAAAAACCACCCATTGTTGCTGAAAACTTAAGGGAACCGTGATCTCCTCCTCCTTTCTTTCCGTGCATGAACGTTGAGTAGTGGATTTGCCATTATTAAAGGTTTGCTGATGATTTCTTTCTCTTATTCTCTATGTTGTAGATGTCTTCTTCTTCACAATGCTAAATTAGCTAATTGAATTTTCATTCTCATCTTTGTGCTGCTGGTATATATACTGAATATTGATATTTCTCTTGCTTTAGATGTTAAGTTTTAAACTCTTTTCTTGCCCTTTTGAGTTAGAGCTGTACAATTAAGGGGAAAGTTGTTTCTTTAGTTAATATTAAAATTGAAGCCTTGAATTTTGTTACTAAACAAGAAAATTATGATATGGGTGTGCATTATAATAATTATGTTAATTCAATGGCAAAGGATGATCTAGAAGCATAATTAGGATTATATAATAATAACAATGCCATTAGTTTGGCTAAGAATAAAAATGGAGAAATTAGAAGGCATAAAAGTGGACATATGAAAAATTGATTCAAATTGTAGAAAGAGATATTAAAGTTTTATTATATCTAATAGGGGTTCCAGAAGAGGAGAAGCTAAATTGAAGTTGAGAAAAGAGAATTTTTAGAACTTGGCAGCATACCAGGTAAGTAAATAATGTTCCATAATATATAGAATCAATGATCTTTCTTTTACCTTATTTAATTACCTTAATTGTTTTGAATTGATTTTTATTTTATTTTATTCGTATCTTAAGATTTAGTTCATTCATATGTAATTAGTTTGATTATGACTCAACTTTAATCATGTAGATATTTTCATAGTATTTCATTTTTAAAATATAAATATAAATATATATATATATACATGCATGGATAAGATAAATTACCGTGAAAAGATTGTTTATGTCTTCCAAATTAAAGAACAATTTGAATTACAAGAGTTTATAGATTCCATGCATGCCAGAAATGTTTTACGAGACTGAATACAGAATATTGTTTACTAACGACAGTATCATTAGCCCTTAGTGCGCCACGGCATACCTAGCTAGTAGGGTACATTGGAGGTGCTAGACCCGAGTGTCGGCCAATACACGTGGAATGGAGGGTGTAATTTCGTGGACATAATCCACGCTTGTTTTTTTTTCGTGGCTTTTAGCCACGGCGGATGTTACTTACCCTCGTGGACTATGTGTCCACGCCTGTTATTCGTTCTGTTGAGGTCCTAACAGAAAATAAGTTTTTCAAAGTCATATTCTTGCTCTTAAGAATTGTATTTTATGATTTATTTTATATAGAAAGTCATATTTCTAAATGGTTGCTCATGATTGTTTACTTTCCCTTTCTATTTTATTCATTCAATTATCAAAATTAAATTATATTATTATTTTCTAATACCTTCTGTAATTAGAATAGTCTTTTGTTTCCTATTATACATTCATAATTATCATTTTTGTTTAATATTATTATTATTTGGGAACGTTATTTACTGGAAGAATTTTTTGGATATTTAGATAGTAGAAGTGAACTTGCTCTTCATTTGATCTTGTAGGACTCCTTGAAATAA